CAGCCTCGCCGCCGCCTCCGCCGCCGCCGCCTCTAGCTTCTCCGCCACCTCCGCCTCCTCCCGCGCCGCGCCCAGTGCGCACGCGTCGTCGGCCTAGGCCCCGCCCCTTCCTCTCCCGAAGGCCCACCCTCAGTGACGTCATAACCCCGTGACGTCTCCCGCATGACCTCACCGCGGTAGAGCGAGAGGGCGGGAAGTGGGCAGGAGGAAGGTGTTGGTTGGGCTTCGGAGGGCGGCCCTTGGAAAATATCTTCTCCCGCCCCGCCCCGCGCCGCCCCGCCCCGCCCCGCCCCCAGTGTCTAGGGGAGGAGCAAAAGCCTGGGGTTCCGGGAAGTTCGGCTGTGACTACCCCCTCCATCTTGCAGGTGAGGAGAATAAGGCCTGGCTGGGGCAGAGACTATAACAAGGTCAAGCATGGGAAGTGCTCTCAGGAAGCAGCTTGCCCCACCAGAGGTTTGATCTTCACTCTGGAAGGATTTTTGGAGAGTTAACTGTCAGAGGGAAGCTATCATAAACCTTTAGTCCCTGGGCAACCTGCCTGACAACTTGCGAACTATCTCTGTTATGCAATAATAGCATCTCCAGCTAAAGAAACCTGAAAAAAAACACATCAGTCATAGGTCCAAATGCACACCACCTACTCCATCAGGACCAGCCCTCTCAAAGTACAAGTTAAGTCATGAGAATTTTGCAAACTTTGTTTTGTCTAAGGCAAAATATCAATGTACATTATGTATATACCTAACCCACTTGGCCCTGGTCAAGGTCCCATTTCAATATGGAATAAGGAACATAGACTGTCTCCTTTACAATCGCTTGTTTGAGAGGTGATAAGAAATGGTCTCTAAACCGGGCACCGGTGGCACCCCTGTAATCTTAGCTACTCAGGAGGCTGAGATCTGAGGATCACAGTTCAAAGCTAGCCCAGGCAAGAAAGTCCATGAGATTTATCTCCAATAAACCACTCAAAAAACCGGAAGTAGCGCTGTGGCTCAATTGGTAGAGCTCTAGACTTGAGCTGAAGAGCTGAGGGACAGCACCCAGGCCCAGAGTTCAGGCCCCACGACCAGACCCCCCCCAAAAAAAATTGAAAATAGAGCCAGGCATGGCCTTAAATGTATAGAATCCCAGCACTCAGGAAACTGAGACAAGACCATCTAGCGTTCAAGACCAGCCTGGGATACATAGTAATTTTAAGACCATGCTGAAGTATATAGTCAAACACAAAAAAAGATAATCATAAAACTAATATCACATATCCAGTGTCTAAGCAAGACACAAATTAATGCCAGGTGCTAGTAGCTCACACCTATAATCCTAGCTACTAAGGGGGCTGAGATATGAGGATCATTCAGAGCCAACTTGTGCAGGAGATTCTGTGAGACTTTTATTTCCAATTAATCACCAAAAAAACTGGAAGTGGAACTGTGGCGTGAGTGTACACTAAAGCTCAGGGACAGCACCCAGACCCAGAGTTCAAGCTCAGGACCAGCCAAAATAAATAAATAAATAACACGTTAAGCTGCAAAGCCAAGAAAGCCCACAGTCAGGAGAGCTAATCAGTTGAGAAAGCTTACTATGAGCAAAGTTGAGTTGGAAACAGCCCAGAGTGTGTGAGCTCACTCCCCTCATAGGGGAGGAAAAAAATTAAAAGGAACTCACATTTAAAAAGCTCTAAGGACATCTAATTTGTCCCAGTCGCTCACACTTATAATCCTAGTTATTCAGGAGGCTGAGATCTTCCGGTCTTAGTTTAAAGTCAGTCCAGGTTGACAAATCCATGAGACTCTTATCTCCAATTAACCAGCAAAAAGCCAGAAGTAGAGGTATGGCTCAAATAGTAGAGCACCAACCATAATCAGAAAAAGCCAAGGGAACCTCAAAAAACAAAATAAAATCCCTCTTTATGCCAATATATGATCATTAATAATAGACTAAAATATAAAAATAGAGATAATTCTCCATATTAAAAATACTTTCATTTTGGGGGGAGGGGGGAGGCTGGGAAGGGATGTGAAGTGGTAAACCAAAGGAGGAGGCTGCAATGCTTGGTAAGAAATGTACGCATTATCCTGCCCA